GAATCCATAAGATTCATAGAGTGTTTGTCACAGAAGTGACCTATTGATTTAGAGACTGAGAAGTCTCCTTGTAGTTTGTCTGCAAGCTGGAGAATCATGATAAATTACATACCTGTATTTAGGTCTGAAATCCTGCAAGACAGTGAAACAAAAGTGTAACCCTCAGGCCACAGCTGAAGGTGCCAGGGCATGGAGGATGATAAAGTGACCAGAGGAGAATAACAGAACACAAAGAATGGAAGAACAGTAGTTCTGAGAACCTGTGGAACAGAAGAAGACTCTGAGTTCTAGCAGACTGACTGGTGACCAGTTATACTGAGGATGGGAATTCCCCACGAAGCTACCAGTTCTTGTACCAATGTCACATGAAAATACCATCATAGATATAACACAAGGGCTCATTCCTTCTAATTACATTTGTACAACTAGGGATCCCCCTTTATTTGCAAGAGATGACTGACTATTTCTTAATTCAGTGAATTTGAGGTCCCAAATTAACCATCACAGAAGGGATGGTATGCAGGCAATCAGAGACAGAAATATCAGCTATAATGTGACTGTACCAATAAGAGAAAATGATACTGGGGTTAATTTATAAGGACATGTTATGAATGGATTGTGAGTGAATGAAGTTTATTACAGTAATTACAAAGACTCTGATCATTACTGATTTCTATGTAACATGCTATAGGTAGGCACTTCCAGATTTTCCATATATAATAGAAGCTGACTTGTTTGCTCCTCTCCAAAGATATATGTGTATACTTACATTGTCTTTATAAATGGAGTTTTGCCACTGTTTGATCAGTGAGTATGTGCTTGACTGAGTCTTTACACTTCTGTTAGCAAAGGAATCTAGCTAGTACTTCTCACATTTTTATATGCATGTCAATAATATGAGGAGCCTGGAAAATGGAAGGTTCTAATTTAGAAGGGTTTGGATGGTGCCTTAAATTCTGCATTTCTAATATGCTCCCTGGGTGAGGTCAATGTCTCTAGGATGGAACAGATTTTGAAGAGGAAAAGGGAAAGAAAGTGTATAAAGTCGTGTACTGTGTATGCACAGACATATTCATATACACTTTTGACTAGGCAGGTGTGCCATTCAAGGCCACCAAAATAAGGGTTTTGATTTCAATTTTAGAATCCCAACCATTTTCTCACAGGTTCCAAGGTACTTCCGATTGTCTACGTATTTCTTTTCAGTGTGTAACTGCATTCCACTTCTGTCTCTGTTGGCAAACAGTTCCCTAAAAGTTTTAAAACACATCACCGGTCCTTTTCAAGAAGAGCTCTGTAAAGAACTGCCTCATTGTTAGTGTTCATTAATAGTTCTCTTACTGACAACTTGGACGCATGCCTCTTAATTTTGCAAGTATTTTAAAATTAAAATCACTTCCAAAGTATTTCAAATACTTCTGGCAAAATGTCTGCTTGGAAGTGGAATTCTCAACTCTCCTCCCACAGGTCTTTTCTCTTACAGTCCTGTAGACTTGTGGGTTTCCTTAATAGTCAAAAATTCCACAGTACAATTCGTGTGTGTTGAAAGACATCTGAAATCACTGACATGCCTCAGGGTCTCAGGATGAAGCAACTATCAGCTTTGCCTTTGTGTAATTGGGCTCCAAATGGTGATCTCCTACTTAGGTTCATTTAAAAAAATCCTCTTTCTTTTCTCCTCCTCTACCCTTCAGTTCGTTCTTAGAGGAAATCCATTTATGGTTTGGACACATTTCACAGGGTTCATATTTTCATCTCTCTGGAACTGTCCCAAGCCAAACTCCAACAGGGGGACAATGCATCTTTGTAAACACAGTAAAGAAGGTAATCTTGAATGCAATCATTGGGTTTTTATGAGACTTTAAGAAAGACCCCGGCTAAGAGTACCTAGGCCCTCACCCAAAAGATATGACAGACTTTGAAGGTCCCTGGCAGAGGGCCTCACTATCACTGGGGAGGAGGTTGGTAATGGGGAGGGGGGGCTGGTGAGGAACATAGGAGGATGGGAGGGCAAGGGAATGGGGGGCTGGATATGTAAATATGAGTAGTAATTAAAGAATAAATTTTTTTGTTTAAAAAAAAAAAGTAAGACCCTGGCTACTGTGGAGAAAGAAAGGCACATGTTTGCTATGCAGGCACTGAAATCCCTTTACCTCTCTATGTGCTGGGCAGCTAAGCTGAGGTATGCATTTAAAAAAAAAAGAAAAAAAAATCTAGACACACCTGGCATTAGTTTCTCCAAAAGGATAGGGAACAGAGATTCAGGAATCTTTGCTATCACGTGCTGGAGATCAACTCAGGCACCATCAGGACTTTCAGAGGGGCTGTGAGCCTCATTGGACAGCTCCTGCTAAAGTCTTCAATGTGTGAGCATGCTCTCTGTTTCTGCTTGCTACCAGTCACTTTCTGTACTTGATTTTCTGTGGATTTCTCAATTTTACTGTGCTTATGAATTTGTTGTTTAAGCTTTTTAACATTACAACTTGAGTCCTCCTAAAGTGACTTCCCTTTAATTGGGAGTTCAATCCTCATCAGAATCTGAACGCTGCTGCTTACCCTTGCTATCTCATCACAGTTCACTCAGAGGCACTTCTGATTCAGCCCATTAAGTGCCCTCATCAGAAATCTACTTAAGTCTGCCTCATCAAAGGGTGCATATGTTTTCCTTGCCATTTAAAAATTTACCCACAAAGAGTTAAAGGCATGTATTGGGCCACACAGACTGTGGGTGATCTGACTGGGAACAAATCCTAGGAAACTTGGCTGCCTGTCCAGTATGCCACATGCTCATTGGTTTGATGGCTGTGAATTCACACGGTGTTCATCCTGCAGAAACATGTAGAGGACAGTCAGTCCCATTAGCAGGCTGCACACTTCGGGTTATGTTTTTCAAAATACCATTCTGACTAATTTTAAATGGTCCATATTTTGTTAATGAGAAAATGACCCATAACTTTATGGTGGATCTTTTTATTACAGATTACAATAGTATTTACATTTTTGTCTCTGCCTTTGCCAAACATGGATTTTGTTCTAGTACCATCTTCTTAGAAAGTCCCTTCTGATTGCTGCTGCTGTTAGGGTCTTCATGGTATCCAATGCACTGTATCTCTGCTGGGTAAGTTCAGCCCGCTCTTTGCCTAAACTTTTAGTTATATGATACTAAACCTGAAACAGATGTTGTCTTGGCTGCTGTCATTTTCTGTGAGTTTCACATTTTATACAAGGCAGGTATAAAGCAGGTAAATTGCTGACTGTACTGTTTTGGAGAAAGAAAAAATGGGGGAAGATGGAATGAAAGGAGAATAAATATACAAATTATAGGAATAAAACCACATGGAGACAGAGAGCACAACCACTGGGGCATCTATTATCCTAACATCATATACTATAGTTTGGTTACTACTGACTTGCCAGGCATCCTCCAGAATCATTTTTGCGGCTGCCCAGATTAACTGTGTGAGTTGATCTGTTGTTTTAATATCAGCCTGTTTTTTCAGCTTCTGTGTCATTTGTTGCCATTTAAAAAATGTATTGCTTGTTACTCAGCCATCTGTGTTCTCAAGATCCCATGGCCTGTTAATTCTCCCCCTGCTCCTTTACTTTCTTTCCTTGTCCTTTTGGTATGGAAACAGGAATTAGAGACCATCAAGAAAGAAAAATTAACCACTCACAGAAAAGGTAGCTGCTCAGAGAAAACGGGGGAGGGGTGTCTTATGGTTTGTGCTTTGTAAGCTGTGGGTGTGACTCAATCTCCTCACCACCCACATAAAAAGGTTGCCACCCAATCACTGTTTTTTTTTCCCCCTCTGTCCCAAACCCCTCCCCTTGGATTTTGGCTGAGAGACCCTAGGAGAGCCTGCCCTTTCTGGACTTTGCAAACTGACATATAAAAGCTGTTAGCTGCTGCTGTAGCCAGCAGCATTCAAACCTTGCAGGCTTTTGCTCTCTGGGAGCTTGTAATAAGACACACTCCTCCTACAAGGGTTCATGCTACAACATAACAAAGAATCTTACATTGTTGGAGGAACAGTGTATTCATTTTGGCATTGTGCAGAGGTAAGCTACTTGGCTCAGCTAGATTGTAATGCATGCATTATTTTAAAACTTCTCAAATATTTTATTTTCTTAGGACAACTTTGTGTGTTCTGTCACTCAGTGTACAGGATATCTGGGACATATTATCAGTACATTTTCTGTGGCTACCTGTGTTTTTCCTTGTCTGTCTCAAGATCAGCTTGGATTGCTAAAGATTCCTAACTGGAAACAGGCAGGCAGTAATATATCTTGCAGTTCAGGCATTTGGGGCAAAGGGGCAAAGGCTTTCCATTCATTTTAGGGTGAGTGGTCACGTGGTTTATTTTTTCTCCAGCTCTAGAAAGTTCCTCTTAGGGGGTTTGATTCATAGCACAGCAAAATGAGTAGAAACTACAGCAGTAGGTTCCCTTTAAGGCAACATTTGTTTAGATTTTGTAAAAATGTCAACCCAAGCTTTACTTCCAAGTGATGATGTTGTAAATCCATAAACTATGGCTCGTTTTTTGCTTGCTTGCTTGTGTTTTTAAAGACCCTAACTCTATACCTTCTTTTGCTTTAAAGCAAAGCAAACCTGGTGGTTATCTACTCCACCCCTCAAAATGATAGCAGTTTCTGCAGTCAGCTTTGCGATCCTTTTGTCCCTTTTCTGTGAAGCAAGTACTGTCGTCTTACTCAATTCCACTGACTCATCTCCGCCAACCAATAATTTCACTGATACTGAAGCAGCCTTCAGTGCGCCACTACAGTCTGCGGATATCCCTAAAACCAGGCGGAAGCGCTACATTTCGCAGAATGACATGATCGCCATTCTTGATTACCATAATCAAGTTCGGGGCAAAGTGTTCCCACCAGCAGCAAACATGGAATATATGGTAAGTGAAATTCCTTTTTCCTTGAATTCTGAGTGAGAAAGCTTTAATTTGCATGGTAGTAGGATCTAAGTGGACCACAGTGCCTGCATGTCAAGTGATACAGGGTAATACCTGAACTGGGGAAAGGTTTTAATGTATCTCATGGTGTTAAATTATGTTATTTCATGAATTAACATATGTGAGAGAGACAGGAGAGAGGATCTATATAGATTTTTCTTCTGTGAGTTCCATATCCCGATGAGCCACATTTTCTGTAAGGAGAAAAAAAAAAAAAGGGATATGCTGACTGCCCACATTTGGAAAGTCATCTTTTCAAGCAGAATTCACAAGGAGTATTTTTTTCTGTGCTTTCTGAATCTAAACATCATCTTTATCAGTTAAAATGTTTCTTGAGAATATTTCTTGAAATTAAAGGTTTCAGTGCATAATTTATTCCTGGCTAGGTGTCTCTCCCAGTTCTTGGACAAAGCTCTCACCCACATTGGTCTATTTGTATTCTAAGAGAACATGTTGGCTCTTTTTTCTTTCTTCCTTGTGATTTAAGACTTAGTTGTTCAGATAAGAGTGAAGCCAGTGCACTTACTTGCACACAGTTCCAAGTTGCCATGAACACATTCTTGCTTGCTCTTAAAAATAGACTATGTTTAAATCATTTCCCTTAGAGAGCAAGAATATTAAGTTGGTATTAAAAGGAACAAGTCTGGCTGAGCTTTATTTTTGGTTTTGAAGTCATGCAAAGTTATGATTTAAAGTTATGCACTTTACTAGATCACATTGTCACATCCGTTTCATGCAATGAATACCACCAGTAGTTAGCAGCTTCTAGAACCATCTACATTTTCTAGATAGACTTTTTGTGCCAAATCAATTGCTGGTGTCAGTGTCACAAGAAAAATAGACCTACCAAATATATCTAATGGGAATCATAGTTTATGAAAGTAGTTCAAGCTAGGCTCTTAAAATGCCCTTTACTAGGATTTATTAAATTACAAAAGATGTAATGAGTCCTGGGCATTATCATGTCATGATTAAGATTGTCGATGCTGGAGTCTAAGTATGTTCAAATTCTAGTCCTCGTGGCATGAGCTCTTTATTTAGTGTGTTCCACTCTCATCTTCTCTACGATAAGGATAAAGTTAGTGTCTGCCCTGAGGCATTTTTGTAAGGAACACATGAGCTGAGGGGCAAAGAACTAAGTCCAGAACTCACAGATACATAGTTATTCATTAAACTTTATCTTTAATAAATTTCTTTGAACTTTCTGTGACAGGACCCAGTTAGGATATAGTCAAGTTCTAAAAACAGAAAGAGTCACCCAAATGCAGGAGAGCTGCAGTTATCCATAGAGGAGCAAATATGTTTCAAAAGCTACCATAGATCATGAGAGATGTGAGCACTGAGGTTTGTGTGAACTCTTAAAGGTACGATGGCTAGGCTATAAGGTCAGGGAATGCTTTCTGCTTATGATCACATTGAAAAAAAAAAAAAACTCAGACAAAGACCAGGACCACTGAGTCAGGTTTGGTAGCAAACTCCTCTTGGTTCACATCATGACAGAACCACTCACTGTGTCCTCATACAAGTTACTCAGTGGCTCTGAGACCCATTTTGCCTATCCCTTTCTTTATAATGGGACTAACAGTACACACTATAAGTAATCAATAAATAATGGAATAATGTAAGTCACTATGCTAAAAATACTGAGAGCAAAGAGGTCACTGGGAGTGGAGGCATCAGTGGGTACAACACAGTAGAAATTGGTAGAAAACAATGTTTCTCTTATTATATCTCCCTTTGTCAAGAATTAAATCACTCAGTATGCTTTTATTTAATTGCTTCTATTTGCCAGAGACCATTTTAATTGTTTCCACAGATGACATCACTTGATAGCCCACATTCACTATCTGAAGTTGAGATTGTGATCACAATTTTCCAAATGAAATCATTTAGACCCAGAGATGTTAATGACTAAACCAAGATGGTGTGGCCAAAGAATGATATTGTCCAGATTAACACTGGCATGGGGGTGGGGTTTCTCTGTTTGTGACATATAGCATAGATCCACTGAAGGATATCTCTGAGAATATCAGGAGATGTTGATCACCTCCATAAAAATTCCAGAAGGGGCCATAAACTATTCTTGTTCTGTTTATCATTCTCTCATTGTTTTCTTCTAAGGTATCAGAATCCCTACATCTGATTTATTTTGCAATAATCAAGCACAGTGCTCATCATATGGTATATATTCACAAATCTGCCTTAGTTCAATAAGTGCAATGTAAAACCTCAGCTAAAATATTATGCTCTATAAAGCAAAGCAGGGACCATTTGAAAATCTGTGTTTTAAAATCTATGTATTCACCATTTACTTAGCATTTACTATACACTGGCACTATGCTAAGTCCAGGGAATACATTCATGAACAAAAGCAACAATCCTCCTTGCCCACTGTAGCAATAAAACAGCAAACTGGATAAATGAATCAGCTGGAGCAGGCTAGAAAGTAATGAGGTCATGAAGATAAAGCTTGAGTCCAGGATTGGATACTCACTGGGGTAGTTGGAGAGTATGTCCTGGGACAGGTGAAAGAGAATACCTATTCACAGATGAAGGAAGTCACAGAGGAAAGAGCAGGGCATAGGGCCAGAGGTAGAGAAAGTTCACAAAGTTAAAAATATCTTCACTTTTATGATTCTGTGGTTCAATCCAACAATAGAAATGCTTTACCCATGTCCCTTGTGGAGAAATTCACTCACAGGCATGTATTAATATGTAGCTTGGAGGTCAGTGCAGGTACTTGGAGTGACTCAACTTTCAAGCTAAGTGAAAATATGGGTCTCAGTGGGAATCTGTCACATTGACTATGACTGACTCAATTCTGATTTGAACTGGCATCAGCTGGGAAGCCAGATCAGTTCCCAACCTGTACTGTACACCTCAGAAGCTCATGGCATGTTTATTACACTAGTTAACAAATAGTTGCTCTCTGAGTCATCGGCTGCATGCTCAAATTATCCTCTTCCGTGTGTTGTTATTCTGGAAATCTTCATAGAAAGATAGTTCAGGCTCAGTGCTTTCTCTCATTGCACTAGACTGCCTTGTAGTTCCTTTGCTCTACAATGCTGTGAGCCTTTTGTCCAGGTTCTCTCCAGTTCAAGTTCTCCTCCTTAAAAAATTCATTTATCCTATTCTTCAGGTTTTTATATTAGAATACCAGTTTCTTTAAGGACATTTGTTTTCATACTCACAGCCATGTGCACCTCAGGTTTCCTTTGAACTGCTATGCCTGCTGTGTCCTCCATGTCTATAGTATTGTTCTCATCAGAGCCAAACTTGACAAATAGCATCTGTGCACTTATTGCTAACTTTCCAGGTTTAGGACTACAGGGTACTAAGTTAATGATTAGTTACCTTTGTCCCTCTATTGATTTTTGAAAGTGTTTGGGTATAGACAGTGAGCACCCATTATTTATTGCATTTAGAGAAGATCCTTATTGTTTTTGTTTATAAACAGCACTAATTTTGATACCATTATAAATACATTTAGTATTTTCCATCACAATATTTCATTCCACACACTTGAAATAAAATAGTTTATAAATTCTTTAGAACCTCTTAAAATTAGATTCTTTAAGTAATTATCTTAGATCATGTACAATTAAATGAAACAAAAGAAATTTGAGCACCAAGATTTACAGTCACAATGGGTCATAACCATTTTTATATAGTACTTGTGACTTTAGTAAAACACACCTTGAGTTCAATACTTAATGTTCTAAACAGTCTCCTTACATGAGCCGCAGTGCAGATAGAACATAAAATGTGCAAGGGAACCTTTGCACTCTTGTCTTCACTTCT